TCATTAATTAAAACAGTGATTGTAAAAAATATTAATTGCGATTACTCTTTTTGCACCTCCCCCCTCCCAAAAAAAAAGAATTAAACTTTCTTATGAAATTCTTTTTTCAAAATATTAAAGTACTCAACGCTATTGTTTAAATTGCATTGCAAAGAACATTTCGAAAAAAATCAGAATAGCGATTAACATTTTGAAAACAGCTATTGTTTTTACTATTTCTTTAAATTTATACCATGCGCAAAATAAAGAGTGAACATCCTGTTTAACGTATGATCTAATGATCGGATTTTTTTTTCAGGATTCTTAGCACTCAATCCCAATAGCTGGTGTCTTAACCTATAAAATTTAATTATCGAAAGATAATTCAGGCTAAAAAATAATATATCTGATAAATATTTATTATTTTATTAAGTAATAACATAAAAAACATGATTTCTAAGGTATAAAAAGACCTTACATAATTTTAATGTATCTAATTTTAAGTAATCAATAAATTAATTTGATAACTTTAATTTATCTAATTTCAATACAAAATTCGAACATAATCGTTCGAATAGGTTTTGGGAAATCAAATTTTGAATATACGATCCCAAAATATAATATTAAGACGAAGAGATTTTGAAGAGTATTTCGGTGACTAAGTGTAAAACCAATATGAAAGATTATGAAAATGAGTTCACACTTTTGGCAAACTATTGGAGGAAAACGCTTTGAATCCAATTTGCGTTAGGCTATAAGAATGGCTAATGTTAACTAATGGTAAAGTAATTCTTATTTTATAGCTGAAACTGTTTATGAGGGATCAAGGGTAAAAGGTTATTGGAACGCTAACGATTTCTGACAAAGATCTTGAAGCGTTAAAATTTGAATTCAGAGTATCAATTTCTTGCAGCGATAAAAATGTGTTTTTTTAAGGGGGGGGACAGTTTTTGAGGATGGCTAAAGATCTTAAATTCTTGAAAGTTTTTGAAAATAAGTTCACACTTTTAGCCGACTATTGGAGGTAAACGACTAACGGTAAACTAATTCTTATTTTATAGCCGTAACTGATTAAGAGGAATCAATGATATTGGAACGCTAACGATTTCTGACAAAGATCTTGAAGCGTTAAAATTTGAATTCAGAGTATCAATTTCTTGCAGCGATAAAAATGTGTTTTTTTAGGGGGGGGGACAGTTTTTGAGGATGGCTAAAGATCTTAAATTCTTGAAAGTTTTTGAAAATAAGTTCACACTTTTAGCCGACTATTGGAGGTAAACGACTAACGGTAAACTAATTCTTATTTTATNGGGAGCGTATATATATACGGGACAACTGTAAAAAAGGAAGATAAAAATTATCTTCCTTTTTTGGGTTTAAGTAACATTTTGTTCTGCTGCACAAAACTCTGTAATGTAATGTACTGTGACAATGTCGCAGTGCCTAGGGTATTATTTACACATTTTATCTGAGTTTTGGTTGGTAGGTGTATGAAATTGTTCAAAAGTAAAAATCGATTAAATTAAAAGACATCTAATTTTCTTTCATTCTTTTTTTTTTTTTTTTTAAAAAATCACAAATCTAGAGACTTACCCTCACTGTCTGATATCCTGAGTAGAGACTGATTTCTAGAAGGGATATACAGAACAAAGTTCACGTCGGGCTGGAGAGACGCATCCGAACCTTTAAAAGGAAAATACAAAATCCATTATAGTTTGATCTATGGTAAGAAAAATGCGTATGTAGGAGTATATTTATTTATTGCTAGCACTTTTTGCATTTAAGAAATTATAAACTCTAGTTTTATGACAAAAAATTTATACATCTCTTTATTTTCTCATTTTATGAAATTTTGATACTTACATACTAAATCATAATTGAATGAAAATCAAAATTATAAACTGTATCATTATTAGAAATAAAAACGCTGTATCTATATTAGTAATATAATTTTATAACAATATTGCTATTATAGATCTAGATACTTCACACAGATTTGGATAAGTGAATATTAAAAAATTAAAAATTTGTGACTTTGGGAAAACGATGTAAATAAATTTTTAAATTATTATTTTTTACTATTTGTAATGAATATTGAATTTATGTGACAAATTATGTTTTTAATTATGAGGAAACCAGAGACGAAACTTATTCTTTTTGCTCAGCAATGCTTTGAAATTGAATGAATGCAAGTATCACAATATTGGATTTTTTTTTAACGTGTGAATACGAATAGGATATTCACTTTATAAACGGTGCAAAAAGTTCACTTTGCAAACGGTGCAAATGGTGGTATCCCTTTTGTCACAAATTAGAAGAAAAAGAAAAACTGCCAAAAAATCATTAGCTTATTATGTACCACAATATATGAGGAAATAGTGGCTTAAATATTCAAAAAGTTACCACTTTTTAAAAAAAAAGTTTTCAGACACTTTTTTTTGCTCAAATTGGTCACCCAAGAACAAAATAGGTAGCAAGTATAGTTTGTCTATGGTAAGAACTCCCCCCGCCGCAAAATCTGAGGCCATCTGTTGCTATGGAAACAAGAATAGCACACTGGAACAAGATAGCTTTCTTCACTCTAAGGCTAACACAATAGACTGGTGACAAAGATTCCCCTTCTCTCGTCCACCACAGCCAAAAACCAGTCCTAAACAGTGACCCCACACCCCTACTTGAAATAGTAATACCATAGTCACGACACGGGTTGAGACGAATGGTTAGGGGAGTTTTTACTTTAGACAAACAACAAATCTAATAGATATTTAATAGGTCAAATGAGCAAGATCAAATAAGAAGATAATACCAAGTTTATCTTCAACGGGGTTGAGCAAGAGATGGCAACTGTTGTTCAGGCGGAAGAACAAATTCTTCTTCAGCATTCATGGGAAGGTGAGCTGAAATGGGGAGGTAAGCCGTGAACAAAACCTTAAAAAAAATAATAACGATCATTTTAATCAGGCTTCCAACAACTCAAGACACAAAAAACAATTTTTTGAGTTTTCAATGAGTAAATGTAAGAAAGAATTTTAAACAAAAAATTATTAATTCAAAATTATTATTTACCACTCCCATGCAAAGTTGGCAAGGTTTAGGACTGAATGGATTCATCCAGAGTTTAAACCATCCTATCAAAAATCCTTTTTTTTTTAAATTATGTCACAATTTTAAAAAAATATTGCCAAAAATAAAAGGCTAATTTTTGAACACGAAACAAAATGAAGAGAAGTTTTTGTTTCTCTAAAAAAGTTTGCTATTATTGCTAATATTGCATTATTTATCCTTATGCAAAAACATAATTTATCAGTATTAAAAGCATATTTATTCATATTCAAAGAATAAGGTATTAAATTTTGTTGTTCAATGAATTGTGGAGCTTCAAAACTTATAAATATTTTCATATTATATTTATAGTAATATTTATATTATATTATTTTCTTTTAGTAAGTTAAAGCAAATTGTATAAAAACTATCAAATATTTATTAATATGTGTAATTATGTGTGCAATGGTTACATCTATAGAATTTTTACCTTTTACCTAAGTTCAAAGTTTTAGACACTTTGAGAGTTTAAGTCAGTAAAACCCATGTCTTCTGTCCAAAACTAGTTTAACCCCAACATTGCTCTCAGACTGACTGTGGAAATATGAAGCAAAATTGTGGCAGAGAGTTTGGATAAAATATGCACACATGAAGCAACATACGGATATATCCGAGCAATACTAAAATCTAGATATGTCTATATGTCTTCAAAAAATTAAGACATTAAATATGTAGTAGATAAAAACGGAACTCAATAATGCAGTAGATCAAAGAATCCTACTCAATTAAAGATCTTTTTACGTAGCTGTAAATATAATATAAATACCACAACAAGAAATTAAATGGTTGGACGGGTATATTCTTGACTTCTAACCTTTATAATCGAATAATATAACCTTTATAATCGAATATTATAACCCAATCAAGCAAGCTTGGTGTAGGGGAGCAAATTTCTTTTCCTCGGCAGTTAGTAGTTTAATGATTGAATTTTTGAAATTTAAAGCAGCGTATAGGACTTAGGATTTAAGGTCCGGTTGTACAGTTAAAATAACCTAATTTGACATCAGCAGGTAATTGAGCAGTATTGAGTGCTAATAATTTATCTACCTTTTTTGGTGTCCTTTAAAAACCATTAAATTAAACATTCTAATTAGCATTTTAAAAGTTAGAAGTAATTTTAGAATTTTTAATTTTGTATATTGATATTCTGTTTTAAGATCACTCAATCAAAAATTGAGCACAAAAGTTGTACACATGATTAATGAATTAAATGTTTCTAACTATATAGAAAAAAATCTAAGGATGGGTGACGTAGTTTTCCATTGTTGTCGGTACTTTTTTATAACTTGACAGAACCTTTACAACTAAATAAACTTGATCTGGTCCAACTAAGGTCCAAACTCTAGAATTTTGTAATGAATATTTTATTTTAATTAAACGAAGCATATTTTTTATATTTTAAATCCCTAATGCCAAAAAATTTACATTTTGTGCAAAAAATTTTTGGTCTTCTAGGGGAAACAGTTCCCATGACAAATCTCGTATCGGCCACCCGTTTAAGAATTATATTGTCTAATTTGTAAGATGCAAAATAAAAGAGTTATCTGCAGAATAAATCATTTTCACTATATAGTAAAAGATTGTTTAATATAAGATTAAAAATTTGCAAAAAAACTGACGCAATACAAACTTTAATAATGTTGCATTTATCCGTTAATTGGGAGAAAACGTTTTGAATCTAATTTGTGTTACGCTATTAGAATGGTCTTCAGAGGGGGGGGGGGGACAATTTNACTAATTTTTAAAGGAAATTTATTTTGTAGATTATTGCTATTGATTTTATTTATATTGTTGGTATTGATATTATTGGTATTATTTTGTAGATGATTGGTATTTATATTGTTGGTATTGCTATTATTGGTATTATTTTGTAGATGATTGGTATTTATATTGTTGGTTTTGATATTATTGGTGTGGTGAACTCCCCATTCGCAAAGTGAACTTTCACAGTTCAAAGAGACTGAGGCCGAAGCGTGCCCAAAATGCCTCGATAAGAACTTTATTATCTTTCACGGGCACGCGTAATCTACCCGGCAGTTGAAGCTCGGTGTAGGCTATGGTAGGACGTCTATGATTGTAACATTTTTCTGTATCTCCCTTAAATTAAATATTATTTGTTTATAACTCTCGTTTACGTCAATCTTTTAACGAATATTAATCTTGTTTCTTTTTTTAGTATTCTAATTAATTATTTTTTTATTGGCATGTTACTTTTTGTTTTTTTTCCTTTAGCATACCCCCCAAATCAGTAACTTGCCAAAGTGGTGACCGAACGCGTGTTATGTTTCACGCAATAGCCTTCAAAATCCTTCTTAATCTTAAATACTTTTCGCAAATGTATGATCTCGCTTTAAAAATAACGTTACAGCCTTTCACACAATTATAAATATTTCATTTTTTTCACATATTTTATGATTTTTCACGATTTATGCTAATTACTGTGGTAGCATACATTTGGATTGCACTTTTTACCAGGTATGTTCTGTTATTATTATTCCAATTTTTTTATTTTTGTATGTGTCGGTAAACTAGTCGATGGTCAGTAATGATTAAGCTAAAACTTATTTTTACTTAGCACTTATTTTTACTTCATTTGTTTACTTCGTTCGAAATTAGGCGCATGTTATATTGTATTCTTTTATTTAATTTACCGTCATTAGTTAAGAAATTTCTTGCTACTATTTTGTGTTACAACGCTTATTTTCATAAGGATTATTATCGAATTTATTTTACATTGTATTTTACCGTATATTTCTTATTTTCACGTTTTATTGTATTTTATTAAAAAAATAAATTCAGCAAAATGTCCATCGAAAACTCAAATCCTCCCGATTCACGAAATATTTCCCGCGTAGCCATAAAGCCACCTCCTTTTTGGAAGGTAAACCCTACCCTTTGGTTTGCACAATTAGAGGCCCAATTCCTTATTGCTGGGGTTTCAGTCGATGAAACTAAATTCCATCACGTTGTTTCGGCAATTGAAACCGATGTGTTAAATTCAGTTGCCGATATCATTCTTAAACCTCCTCAATCAGACAAATACGGTGCGTTGAAAACTAGACTTATTGCACTCCACTCTGAAAGCCAAGAGTCTAAGATCCGTACTCTTTTACAGGGTCTCGAGCTTGGAGATCAACGGCCCTCGCAACTGCTAACTCGAATGCGTAGTCTTGCCGGAGAAAACGTTGGCGAGACACTTTTAAAATCGTTGTGGCTCTCTCGTCTCCCCGCCACATCACAAAGTATTCTCGCGGCACTGACTGAAGATTTAAACAACTTAGCCACCGTTGCTGATAAAATTAGCGATATTGCAGGCGTGCAGCAAGTTAACTCTTGCACATCTCAAACTCCTCCTAGCTCACAACTAGAGCAGCAGATCGCACAACTCAGCAAGCAGCTTAGCGAGTTGACCACATTTGTTCACTCCCGTGGAAGAGATAGGAGTCGAGGTAGAGCTGATGATCGAAACGACCACCGGAGCAAGTCCCGAAACGGTCATAAGCGAAATTACAAGGAACCGTTAAACAATATGTGCTTCTATCACACTAATTTTGGTGCACGGGCTCGAAAATGTAAACTCCCTTGTACCTTTAACTCGTTGGCGGAAAACTAAGTCGGCGATCGCGAAATGGCCAAAACCGCGACCGCCACATCGACAGGCTCTTGATGGCCGATCCCGCATCTCATTTTAAATTTCTTATAGATACCGGTGCTGACGTATCAGTAATTCCGAAACCTAATTCTTTTTTTAAAAAGTCTGATAAATTAACTTTGTACGCAGCTAACGGATCTAAGATAGCAACCTACGGCACTAAAGTATTATCTGTCAACTTAAATTTACGCAGAGATTTTAGATGGCCTTTCATTATTGCAGATGTAACTCAACCAATCATAGGCATCGATTTCCTCACGCATTTTAATTTGCTGATTGATGTTCGAAATAATTGCCTGATTGATAAAATGACGAATCTTAAGTCATCGGGACACTTACCTCGCGATCGTACAACCGTAACTGATATTTGTTTACTTCCAAAAATTAATTGTCCCTACCAAAAAATTTTGTCTGAATTTCCATCCATAACTAATCCATCGTTACATGATGATAAAAATAAAGATATTTTAGTCTATCATCATATCGAGACCGTCGGCCAGCCGGTTTATTCGAAACCGAGACGATTATCGACTGATATCCTTAACGCCGCTAGGAAAGAATTCGAATTTATGCTTTCGGAAGGCATTATCCGACCCTCAAAAAGCCCATGGGCCAGCCCGTTACACATGGTAAAAAAGTCGAACGGTGACTGGCGTCCATGTGGCGATTATAGGCGTTTAAATACCATAACTATACCAGACCGCTATCCGGTGCCGCATATCCAGGACTGCACCCAGCAATTCGCAAATAAAACCATTTTCTCGACTTTAGACCTTACACGAGCCTACAACCAAATTCCGGTTTTTCCCCAAGATATCCCAAAAACCGCCGTCACTACTCCGTTTGGTCTATTTGAGTATGTTTATATGCCCTTTGGACTACGGAACGCCGGGCAAACGTTCCAAAGATTCATTCACCAGGTGTTGTCCGGCTTAGATTTTTGTATCCCATATTTTGATGATGTCTTAATCGCATCGAATAGCGCTGAGGAGCACAAAACGCACTTACGATTAATTTTCGAGCGTCTCAAACAGCACGGATTAAAATTAAATGCATCAAAATGCGTTTTGGGGCAGAAATCAGTCAAATTTCTTGGCTGTTTGATTACCCCTTCTGGAGTCAAGCCCTTGCCTGAAAAAGTTCAGATAATACGTCAATATCCGAAGCCAGAAACAGTTTCTGAATTACGACGTTTCCTGGCAATGATTAACTTTTATCGACGTTTTTTACCTCACGCGGCGGAGATACAAGCTCCATTAAATGAATTCTTAAAAAATTCCAAAAAGAATGATAAAAGCTTAATCCAATGGAATGAAATGGCCGACAACGCTTTTGTCAAATGTAAAACAGAACTTGCGCAGACCGTAACGTTAGAGTATTATTCCCCTGATCACGAACTTTCCGTCATGGTCGACGCTTCCGATATCGCGATAGGAGCCGTTTTGCAATCATTAACTCCTTCTGGGCCACGTCCAATAGCATTCTTTTCAAAGAAATTAACACCGACTGAAAAGAATTACAGCACATATGACAGGGAGCTGTTAGCCATATATCAAACGGTTAAACATTTCAGGTACGTTTTAGAAGGCCATAAATTTATCATATTTACTGACCATCGACCCCTTACTTACGCTTTTCAAAAAAAACCGACTCATGCTCACCTCGCCAATTGAGACACCTCGATTTTATATCGCAGTTTAGCATCGACATTAGACATGTTTCCGGCATTGATAATGTAATCGCGGATGCCTTAAGTCGCATTAATGGAATTAATCTTCCTTCTGTAGACTTTTCAGCTATCGCACAGGCTCAAACCAACGATGAGGAATTAAACTCCCTAATTTCCAATAACGAAACTTCTCTGCTATTGCAACCTCTTAAATTAACGGAAAACTTAAATATTTTTTGCGATTCTAGCAATAATAAATTGCGACCTTTTATTCCTCTTAATTTTCGCCAACGCATATTCGAATCTATCCATAATTTGTCTCACCCTGGCATTCGAGCTTCGCAAAAAATGCTATCTGAACGGTATGTCTGGCCATCAATGAACAAAGACATAGCCGTTTGGACTAGGTCTTGTGTGCAGTGCCAAAAAGCAAAAGTCATCAAACACAGTCACAGCCCGATTCAGAACTTCAAATTGCCTCGACAGCGATTTTCACATGTCCACATTGACATTGTGGGCCCTCTGCCACCAGCTGATGGATCGCAATATCTGCTCACGTGTATAGACCGATATACCAGGTGGCCGGAGGCGATACCTATTACCGACATGACAGCGGAGACTGTTGCAAAAGCCTTCCTCACCCATTGGATAGCCAGATTTGGCGTGCCAGAACTGGTCACAACAGACCAAGGTCGCCAGTTCCAGAGCAACTTATTTTCAGTATTCAACCGAATACTGGGTACTCAGCAGTTCCGAACTTCTCCTTACCATCCAGAAAGCAACGGAATCGTCGAGAGATTCCACAGAACTCTAAAGCAAGCTCTCCGCTGCCATAAGCAAAAATGGACCGAATCTCTCCCATTAGTTCTCTTAGGACTCAGATCCACCTTGAAACCGGACTTAAACTGCACGAGTGCTGAACTCGTGTATGGTGTTCCCTTGAGGTTACCATCAGAATTCTTGGAGACACCAAATATCGACATCGAGCCTTTCGATTTTCTTAGAAATCTGCGACAGACCATGGAATCATTGCGGCCCAGCCCAGCATCTGCACACTCCAAACCACGGATTTTTGTTCATCCATCATTGAAGGACTGTACGCATGTATTCGTACGTTTCGATGGGGTAAAAAAATCCCTGCAATCTCCGTACGATGGACCTTATCTTGTGCTAGATAGGAACGACAAAACGTTCACCATCGAAATCAGCGGAAAGCGTTCAGTTATCAGCATTGATAGACTGAAACCAGCATTTCTTCCTCAAGACACCGACTCACAACCCTCTTCACAGACGTCTACAACTCTCTCGGATTCTACCAAAAGTGATCCTGCATCTCAAACGCAACCAAGTGAATCACAAACAGTTGTGCCAGAACCTCTTCCTATCACGACTCGCTCTGGCAGGAGAGTCAGATTCAACCCTAAGTTCCTGTGAACTCTTCCGTGCCAATGGCACTAGGGGGGGAGTACTGTGGTGAACTCCCCATTCGCAAAGTGAACTTTCACAGTTCAAAGAGACTGAGGCCGAAGCGTGCCCAAAATGCCTCGATAAGAACTTTATTATCTTTCACGGGCACGCGTAATCTACCCGGCAGTTGAAGCTCGGTGTAGGCTAGGGTAGGACGTCTATGATTGTAACATTTTTCTGTATCTCCCTTAAATTAAATATTATTTGTTTATAACTCTCGTTTACGTCAATCTTTTAACGAATATTAATCTTGTTTCATTTTTTAGTATTCTAATTAATTATTTTTTTATTGGCATGTTACTTTTTGTTTTTTTTCCTTTAGCATACCCCCCAAATCAGTAACTTGCCAAATATGTATACTGCTTGCGGAAAGATGAAACGAGCAAGTTATGAGATGATCGCCAAGTGGGTAGTAGACACCTGGGACGCGGTAACCACAGAGACAATCACTCGGGCCTTTGCGAAAGCAAATGATGAAATATTGAACTTATTTGTCTCTGATTGCGATGAAAGTGGCTTTGAAGGATTTTGAATGCTTAATTTTTACATTGTTTTATATTTTTTTCTGAAATTGTTAACTGTAATGAATTTTTAAATCTTTTTTTTTTAATAAATTTTTATCTGATAAATGTTCATTTTATTTTTCTTATTAGGTACATTGTTTTACAGATTTATGTGATCAGTCTCAGCGTTAATTCTTTCGCTAAATATGGTTGAATCATTTTTTTATAATAGAAGATTACTTTATTTTTCTAAAATGTGAGATTCTCCTATCTTTTTCTCTCTAATTCCCACCCTCCCAACGCAAGGTTTAAATCGCCGTCGCTGAGCAGGTAAATATTTTTTTGCTGTTACTTATTTGCTCTTCTGAAGTAAAACATGACTGCTTTATTTTTTACTGCGGTGCCAACTGGTATGAACAACTTTATTTTATACTGTTTTGTTGTTTTTTTTAGCTGAAAAAGGTAGCTTTTTTTCGCGTGAACTCTTTGTTAAAGTATTTTAGGCTATTCTCTCCCCCCCCCCAAGTAATTTAGAAATTACATTATTTGATGTATTTAAAAGTATTTTGTTGTACTTAATATTATTTTTGGACCATTTAAAGGGATTATTTATTATGCACGCTTATTCCAAATTAACCTGTATCAAGAATGATCTAGTTCAGCCTTGCCTAAACAGTCTACGGACGTAAGTGAGCGGACCTGTTAACGGATTTTATATTTTACATTTTTTTTACTATACAAATATTCTAAATGTTAATCTAAATGTCTCTTCTATAAGAATGCTGATATGGGCGGCGGAACGTCTCCGTGGCGCTTCTGATAACTTTTTTTAAAGCAATTTTCATTTTAATCGACGTGCAGCGCCTTCGACAATTCGGCGCTTTCACCAGAAAAGATGGTACTTTATATCAATCCTATTAGAAGCTATGGCCCTGCTCTACTAGATTTTTATCCTTGCTTAGTAAAAGTTTTATCCCTGTTTGCTTTCCTTTACGATGTAAAAAATAAATAAATGAAAGTATTTTACTCTCGGTGGTCTAAATTTTTAATTAGAATTGAAGTTGTAAGAAGTGTGAAAAATGTGATTCATGTAATAACTTGGACAGTTTTATGGCATGCAAATGTCTTATTATTTATGCCCGTGGTTTTTGTTTTATTATCACGCTGTGAAGAAGTGAACTCTAAAAACATTCTTCAATATCTAAAAGTTGCTAAAAAATTAAATGATAATTTTTCATGTAGTAATTAAAAGTTATTAAAATGTTTATTTAAACTTAACATAATTATTATTTAAAATAAATTTAATTAATTGAACTTTTAATTATTGCGTATTTAAGTTTACTTTCTTCTAATATGCACCTT